AGTGAAAGTATACTTTTGGTCTTTGTCCCTGTTATCCTTTGACTAGCAGGTTCGTGTCTCTGTGTGGTTTTCTTTAGCATTTCTTCTGTTTACTTACTATCCCCTGAAAATGTCCTGACCGCATGAACTTAATGAAGAAGAGGTGTACTGTCACCATCTACATACTCTTGTGATTTCCTCATGAAGTAAAAGAAGGGGAAGTGCCAGGTCCTGAACTTGGGAAGGAACAACCCCAGGCACCAGTATTTGGTGGGGTCCACCCAGCTGGAAAGTAGCATGTCAGAAAACGACCCTGTTAAATATACTAACAGATGAGCATGGCTGCAGCACTTGACAGAAGCATTCACTCAGAAAATAAAGTCTGAAGGAGTTATGAAGAGCCTGACAGAAGATATTACAGAACACGGTATCAGTCAGTAGTACTCTTTTGCTTTTATCAGCCAGTGCTGGTCACATCTCCAAAAAGTACACAGCAGAATTAATAAAGATACAGACATGGAAAGACTAGGCCAGAGAGAAGGGATGCCATCCAGGCTGACAGGCTGGAGGAGTGGTCCCATGTCAACCTCAGAAAGTTCAACAAGGACAAGTCATCCCTGGAGGTATTTAAAAGACAGGTTGACATGGTGCTTAGAGACATGGTTTGTGTCCCATCTCATAGATGGGGTCTCACCTCTACTCTGCCCTGGTGAGACCCCATCTGGAGTACTGTGTCCAGTTCTGGGCTCCCCAGTTCAAGAAGGACAGGGAACTGCTGGAGAGGGTACAGCAAAGGGCCACAAAGATGATTAAGGGCCTGGAACATCTCTCTTACGAGGAGAGGCGGAGGGGCTTGGGTCTTTTTAGTCTAGAGAAGAGAAGACTTAGGGGGGATCTAATCAATGTTTACCAATACTTAAAGGGTGGGTGTCAGGAGGATGGGGCCGGTCTTTTTTCAGTGGTGCCAAGTGACAGGACAAGAGGAAATGGGCACAAACTTGCACATAAGAAGTTCCACCTAAACGTGAGGAGGAACTTCCTTACTGTGAGAGTGGTAGAGCATTGGAACAAGCTGCCCAGAGAGGTGGTGGAGTCTCCTCCTTTGGAGATATTCAAAACCCGCCTGGAGAAGTTCCTGTGCAACTTGCTCTAGGTAGACCCGCTTTGGCGGGGGGGTTGGACTAGATGATCTCCAGAGGTCCCTTCCAAAACCATATGATTCTATGTTTAGTGATAGCTTTTTATCAAGGTTAGGTTGATGGTTGGACTAGATGATCTTACATGTCCCTTCCAGCTAGACAATTCTATGACTCTAAGTGCAGGGTCTGCATCTGGGTCAGGGAGATCACCAATACCAGTACAGACTGGGGACTAATGGACTGACAACAGCTCTGCAGAGAAGGACCTGGGGATACTGGTAGATGAAAAATTAGACATGAGCCAGCAACATGTGCTTGCAGTCCAGACCACATCTTGGGCTGCATCAAAAGAAGCATGGCCATCAAGTCAAGGGAGAGGATTCTTCCCTCCTCTGCTCTGTTGGTCCTGCAACGACTTGTACTGGCCACTGGCCACTAGAGCCTGATCAGCACACCAACAGCTCAGTTATTATGCGGTTATCCCTATGACCTCAAAGAAGAATATAAAAAAATAAGTAACCTTACAGTATGTCCCTTCTCTACTGTGGAAATGGAAAGCTTACAAAAATTACCTACAATTTACATTTAAAAATCATTCCTCACTGACCTAACAGCTGCAAACACAGCTCTTGCTCTCCATCTAGACATCACCTTTTAAATGTAGATTCTATGGTTGCCATGAATCATATGTATTCTGCCAGGGACAAATGACTGGTTTAAATATTTTAAAATCATGAATTCATGAATTTTGAATATTATGCCTTGTTAGGCCTTGCAATTTCACCAAATGAAGTCCAATTTCTTTCACATCATCAAAAGCACGTTTGCAAATCAAAGGCCACATGCTTATCAAAAGTTAAGTTTATATGATTTCCCACTTCAGTGCAATAGCTATACCTATAAATTTAAAAATATTTGATTCATAAATTGTTTTTTCTTCTCTGCAGTTTAGGATCTTGAAAGGAATTGAACGGCCTTTAAACAAATTATTTTAAAAATTTAATTCACAGGCATAGGATAAAAACTTTTAGGGTAAAAAGTAAAAGATACAACATTGCTTAGACTCTGAAACTGACATCCTTGGAGCAGGCAAATTCCTCAGTCTAGCTAAGGGCTTCATTTCAGCCATGGGGACAGTTATATTCAAAGAGAAATGCTTCTATCCCTAGCTTTGGAAAACTATCATAGACAAATACAGCCATCATCATGATAATAAGAGTACAAAATAGTAAAGGCTGTTGGACTATCAGAGGCCATAAAGGAAAGGACAGGAAGTTTGTCTCTCAAACACTGGAACCAATGAATAGAGAGTTTTTTAAAAAACGGAAGGAAGATCAAAACAGCTTTCCATAAAATTTGTGGGACCCTTGTCCAGCACTGTCAAAACACCCAGGTACAAGAATGACCACATCACTGTTACTCTCATGTTACCCCTGTGATTATCAGAATCACTGAAGACGGGCATCTCAGGCTTTCAATTCACAAAAATCAGACATACTTCACTTGATGACCTCTGAGTAACATTTCCTAAACAAGGCCCACTAGCCACTGTCTACATTATGAAAGCAGTATGGGGAACACAAGCAGTAACTCTGTGAGCTACAAGAAAAAGCACGCAAGTTGTAGTTATTTGCTTGTTACTATGCACTTAGGATACTTCTGTATAAATGAAAAACCTGGATAACTCCTGTGGTATAATACCAGAACTCTTAATTTTATATTAACTCTTAATTTCTAAATTTCTTAATTTCTAAAGTTATATATAACTGTTATATTTTAAATTAAGAACGATTCAGTTCGTCCAACCACACCTTTCCAGAGACGCTAAGTTTCTGAAATGCTATTCAAGGGGAGACCAGCAAATTCCAGATATTAGCCCAAGCACTGTTTGAAAATTACTATGGTAATATCGCACTAGAGGAGGAATGAGCCCCAAGTGATTAAGAGTACTGAAGGTTCAAGTTAACACCTTACCTTTCATCAAAAAACTAAAGGAGTTTTAATACATAAGCTCTTCTGATTCCATCAAGGGTTGTGGACACCGTGCAGGAATATACATTAGTAAGTATATTCTGCATTAACTTTAACATCAATGGGTTCTTAACAAGTTAGTCAGCATAGAGAACATGGCATGTGATAGTCAAAGGAACAGAAAGAAATGAAGTGTCAGAGCTGAAAAGGAAAGAAACTTTCCAAGATGTCAACTAGAAAAAGCCTTTTGCCACATTTGCTGCATGGCATTCAGCGGTCATCTTGAACCCTACACCATCCGTTAAGTGCAAACACAAGGATTAAAAAAAAAAAAAAATATATATATATATCACAAAAGCATGTCCTGCTTAGCAGGTTATTATTTGCTTTGTCTTTACTCTCATCCATACCTCACCTCTATGTCTTCTATCATTTGGGACCAGAATGAGAAGAACTACCAAACTGCCTTTCTGAAAGACATACCCTTTCTCAGCAACAGCTGTAAGCTGGATACAGCTACCCACTACCTTCAAGAATATGCCAAAGCGAATGGTCCTAGAACCCTCCCTGGACTCAGAATCCAAGAGAACATTCAACTGAACAGAAAAGGACAGAAAACTGATAGAAAACATAATCACAGAAAACTGGAACAACTCCTTCCAATGAAGATAACAACATTGAAACAGCAGACCTATGAATTTGGGGGATATTCTAACATTGTTTACTCCAAACTGCTGACTCCATAATTCCATGGCTGCAAAAACTTAAAAGGTATGTGGAAGAAAAAAAAAAACACTCAGTATTTGCCTCATTTGCCTATTTGTTTTCCACATATCCATTACTAGTCAGAGACAGGATACTTTGGTCTGACTCAGTGCAACACATTTCTTAAATTCATGTAAGTGATGATTGGTAGACTAGTACCAGTATCTCTCTGTACCAGACCTTCCCTGGTTCAGCCAGAAGCAAAAAGCCAGAGGTAGCAGGCACTGGGCAAAGTTCATAACTGAGACACAGCAGGCTAGGCTGGTTGTTAAAGGGCCAAATCAGATGACAATAACAAGCCTGATGTGTCTTAAAATATAAAAAACCCCTTAGAATCTAGGCTATTTATTTCCAATTTCCTAGGCTATTTTTTTCCAGTTCTATTCCAAAAATAGAATGCGTTTTTCTACCAGAAAATTTACTAGTGAAGTGACCTGTGCAGATTGTGAAAAGTGAAAAGGCACTGATCCAGCTGTGGGAAATACAAAGTCCCATACAGGCTTCCTGTGTACTGACTGGGAAAAGTGACAGATGGATCCAGGTGGATATTCACCAGTGGAAGCAACAAAAAGTACAGGACTAATGGTAGAATATAAAGACCTGAGTGGCCGATTTGAGTATCTTACCACTGAGATGACCAACGTATATCCAGCACCAGCAGGTACTAGAGATACCTACCTTCTTCTACCAGTTGGGAAGAGCTAACCATGCTAATTTAAACCTGCTGTGAGAAACATGGTAACCCTACAAATCAATAACCATCTGACAAAAACTAATCACATTTACTTGTGGGTAATGGAGCAATGAATTACCACAAAGAATACCTGCTACTACTCCTCCTCTTCATTCTTTCCTCCATTAGACCTGCTCTCAGGAACTGCTTTCTCTAACATCAATTGCTCTGAGCCAGTCTACTCTGCCTAATCAGCGCCTCCTCTGCCAGCACCAGCAGAACCTATCATAAAAGTAGTTGGCTAGTAAAAGGACCAGCTTCGGTCTGCAACAGCAAGCGGGCAATTCAGGACTTAATTTAACAAAATAACACTTCCCATATGTCCGAAGGCAAACATTTTCCAGTCCCAGTAAAAGTCACAGACACATTCTTCCCACCTCAAACAGGTCATTTTTCAAAGGGCTAAAACCTACCTGTACCAGACAAGGTGGCTGATGAACACGCAGAGTCACATGTGTAGAGACAAAGAGGAAGCAAGAAACTTATCCGACAGGATGGGGCAGGAGACCAGGTATTATGTCATGATGAATTAGCAGCAGGTATTCTCCTTGACCAGAAGCAGGAACAGGTCTAGGACAGCAGGCTGAGGATGCATTTGGATCCAGTTCTGAAAAGAGAAAGTACATACTAAGTGAGAGGGAATATACAATATAAATAAAATTTCCTAGAACAGCCACAACCAACCCTTGTGACACTCCATAAACAACACAACTTAAAAAAAAAAAAGGGGGGGGGGGAAAGCAAGAAAGAAAAGATGCAACTGACATAGCAATTAGGGACTTCTCTGCAGGCAGATGCATGTCCCTGTTGCCGAGACAGTACTTTGGCCAAGGCACTAGGCCATCCTTACAGGCTATTCAACTTACAGATGGGAGCCAGCTTGTATCCGGGGAGACTGGAGAAAAAAAATTAAGGAAGTACACTACTTGTGTATAACCTGCCAACATGCTGAGGCACAGGGTGGTTAAGATTGGAAGGGATTTGCCTGGGCTAACCAAGAAGCAAGGGATCTTCTTACACAGATGTTGTCAGTTACATTTCTGCCATCAGACATCTCTGGCAATCCTTGGGAAAGAAGGCCAGTTTTTTTAACCAGGAACTGTAACCAAGTCCACATGCTTTCATTCTTAAAAAAAAATCAAATCCTTAAAGGCTATCAGAATACTCTAGCAATTCAGCTGTCCTGGAAAGATGGCGAGAACATTGCAGACTGGGAGAACTACTGATCCCACAGATTTAAAGTATCATGAGGCAGCTTCAGTGCTGCATATTCACAATAGGTTCCAGAGAAGGTGAGCCAGGGTAAGAAGGGAAAGGGAGCTGCTCCTTGGGAGGAGCTGAGCCAGCTGCACCCGTGTACACAAAGCACTGTTGCTTCCTACAGCTCTCTACTGTAGGCGATGAAGTAAAGAACAGAGGTGAACACCAGCACTTACAGGTGCAAGCTCTTATCTAGTCATGCAGTTAGAAGAAACTGCTCAAAGAATGGATAGGCAAGACAGGGAAACATGAGCACCACCGTGCCAGTCTAGGCAATGCAGATCAGCACAAGAGCAGACAACTCCATTGGGGACAGTAACAAGGCTCGAGGTCTAGCAGGGTCAAAACAAAGGAAGAATAAAGGGCAGAAAGAAGATCATGGTGAATTGTGCTAAAGTAGAGCTGAAGTCAAGGAAGGACAGAGTCTGGGAAAGCAGTGGCGAGGCAGAATGCAGCAATGGAGGCAGTGCAAGTGAGAAGGGCTGGGCCAGGAGAGTGCATGGGTACAGAAAAGAACATCACTGCAGAAAAGGAGGCAACCAAGGGCTGACAATGAATCTCACCCTGCCTTAGGGACAAGGCCAGGCTGGGTGCTTCTTCCTCACAGAGGGCAGGAGACTCTGCCAGGGAAGAAGGGCTGGTTTCTCATGCTGGTGTCCCCATGGTAAACAGCAGGTTGTTGATTGCTCCTTACGCAGCACCAAGGAACTGGTTCTTTTCAGAAGCTGCAGGACTCCCCTGGATGGGCAGTGGTATGAAGCCAGTCTCCCCAAGAAGGGCAGTGCAGGCAGCACTAGGCAAGGGTACTGCACAAATGCACCCCTAGATCATGCTAACTGACGAGTGACCTTGCTTTCTCCTCCATTCCCCATTCAACTTCTACCTCAGTCTTTCCCAGCAGCAACTTGCAGACAGGGTCCCTCCAGAGGCTATGCTGACAGAGGAAACAGAGGAGAGTTCAGGCCCCAGGAAACAGGATGTAGGGCAGGAGTAGCAATCTTGTGGCACCCAAGTAAGATGGTTTGCCTGTGTGGGAAGTCAAGATCTTCTGGAAGGCCATGCAGAGCATTATTCTCCTACAGAAATGGATCAGTTTGTCCTGAGAAAGTATCTGGAACTATGTAAGCTGAGGGGCAGCTTAGAGGCAGCAAGACAAATACTCTCTCTCAAAAGGTCCCATCTCCTGCATGAAGGGTGGTTGTTCCTGGAGCACCGGAGACAGTCGTCAGTCGCAGTAGAGCAGCGGGGTGTGCAGTGTCTCCAGCGACAGGGTGTTAAGAAGAGGACCCTCCTCTCCAGAGGACTATACCAGGGCAGGCTGGGTGATTCCAGATGAGTGCTGGTGCCTCCCTCGGGATATTCAGCCCCGAGCAGGCCTGCAGCCCACTTTGGGGAGTGGTAAAGGAGTACTGCACTTCCCCGCTCTGCCTGCTTCTCCAAGCCAGCTGGGTCCCTGCGACGCAAAAGCTACCACAGCTCGGCGGATGCGGGGGCGCAGGGGGACACCCGGTGGGTGCCGGCCGGCCGGCCGCAACTGCGGACGCCGAGTCCGACGGGAAGAACAGGGAGAGCGGCGCGCCAGCCGTCGGGGTGTTCGAGCCTCCGGCTCAGCGGGGAGCCGAGCGGCAGGAGCCGACCGCCGCGGGAGGGTGCACCGCCGGGCGGCACATCGGCGGCGCGGGGCCCGTCGCCCGGACTCTGCCCGTCTCCCGGCCGGGCGTACCCCGCAGGCAGCGCCGGGGCGGGGGCAGCGCCAGTGCCTGGGGCTGCCACTGACGGGGGGCAGTGCCCGGGCGGGGCTGTCCCGCTGCC